TTTTTAGTAGAGACAGGGTTTCACCTTGTTGACCAGGATGGTCTTGATCTCTTGACCTTGTGATCCACCTGCCTCGGCCTCCCAAAGTGCTGGGATTACAGGCTTGAGCCACCACGCCAGGCCTTTTTTTAATTAATCTGGCTAATGGTCTGTCTATTTTGTTGATCTTTTCGATAAACCAGCTCCTGGAATTACTGATTTTTTTGAAGGGTTTTTCATGTCTCTATCTCCTTCAGTTCTGCTCAGATCGTAGTTATTTCTTGTCTTCTGCTAGGTTTTGAGATTTTTTGATCTTGCTCCTCTAGCTCTTTCAATTTTGACGATAGGGTGTCTATTTTGGATCTCTCCACTCTTCTCATGTAGGCACTTATTGCTATATATTTTCCTCTAGAGACTGCTTTAAATGTGTCCCAGAGATTCTGGTATGTTGTGTCTTCATTCTTGTTGGTTTCGAAGAACGTCTTTATTTCTGCCTTCATTTCATTGTTTATCCAGTCAACATTCAAGAGCCAGTTGTTCAGTTTCCATGAAGCTGTGCAGTTCTGAGTTACTTTCTGAATTCTGAGTTCTAACTTGATTGCATTGTGGTCTGAGAGACTGTTTGTTATGATTTCCCTTCTTTTGCATTTGCTGAGAAGTGATTTACTTCCAATTATGTGATCAATTTTAGAGTAGGTATGATGTGGTTCTGAGAAGAATGTATATTCTGTGGATTTGGGGTGGAGAGTTCTGTAAATGTCTATCAGGTTTACTTGTTCCAGGTCTGAATTCAAGTCCTGGATATCCTTGTTAATTTTCTGTCTGGTTGATCTGTCTAATATTGACAGTGGAGTGTTAAAGTCTCCCACTATTATTGTGTGGGAGTCTAAGTCTCTTTGTAAGTCATTAAGAACTTGCCTTATGTATCTGGGTGCTCCTGTATTGGGTCCGTATATATTTAGGATCGTTAGCTCTTCTTGTTGTATTGATCCTTTTACCATTATGTAATGTCCTTCTTTGTCTCTTTTGATCTTTGTTGTTTTAAAGTCTATTTTATCAGAGATGAGAATAGCAACTCCTGCTTTTTTTTGCTCTCCATTTGCTTGGTAAATCTTCCTCCATCCCTTTATTTTGATCCTTTGTATATCCTTACATGTGAGATGGGTTTCCTGGATACAGCACACTGATGGGTTTTGGCTTTTTATCCAATTTGCCAGTCTGTGTCTTTTGATTGGTGCATTTAGCCCATTTACATTTAGGGTTAATATTGTTATGTGTGAATTTTATTGCCATTTTGATGCTAGCTGGCTGGTTTGCCCTTTAGTTGTTGTAGATTCTTCATTTTGTTGATGCTGTTTAGCATTTGGTATGTTTTTGGAGTGGCTGGTACTGGTTGTTCGTTTTTATGTGTAGTGCCTCTTTCAGGAGCTCTTGTAAAGCAGGCGTGGTGGTGACAAAATCTCTGAGTACTTGCTTGTTCGCAATGGATTTTATTTTTTCTTCACTTATGAAGCTTAGTTTGGCTGGAAAGGAAATTCTAGGTTGAAAGTTCTTTTCTTTAAGGGTGTTGAATATTGGCCCCCACTCTCATCTGGCTTGTAGGGTTTCTGCTGAGAGATCTGCTGTGAGTCTGATGGGCTTCCCTTTGTGGGTAACTCAGCCTTTCTCTCTGGCTGCCCTTAGCATTTTCTCCTTCATTTCAACCCTGGTGAATCTGACGATTATGTGCCTTGGGGTTGCTCTTCTTGTGGAATATCTTTGTGGTGTTCTCTGTATTTCCTGGACTTGAATATTGGCCTGCCTTGCTAGCTTGGGGAAGTTTTCCTGGATAATATCCTGAATAGTATTTTCCAGCTTGGATTTATTCTCTTCGTCACATTCAGGTACAGCTATCAAACGTATATTAGGTCTCTTCACATAGTCCCACATTTCTTGGAAACTTTGTTCATTACTTTTTGTGCTTTTTTCTCTAATCTTGCCTTCTCATTTTATTTCATTGAGTTGATCTTCGACCTTTTGACTGGTTTCTTCTGCTTGGTCAATTCAACTGTTGAAATTTGTGCATGCTTTGTGAAGTTCTTCTGTTGTGTTTTTCAGCTCTATCAATTAATTCATATTCCTCTCTAAGTTGTCCATTCTTGTTATCATTCCTTCAAATCTTTTTTCAAGGTTCTTAGTTTCTTTGCATTGAGTTAGAACATGTTCTTTTAGCTCTCGGAAGTTTCACATTACCCACCTTCTGAAGTCTTATTCTGTTATTTCATCATACTCATTCTCCATCCAGCTTTGTTCCCTTGTTGGTGAGGAGTTGTGTTCCCTTGTAGGAGGAGAGGTGTTCTGGTTTTGGGTGTTTTCCTTCTTTTTGCACTGGTTTCTTCCCATCTTTGTGGATTTATCCTCCTGTCGTCTGTGTAGTTGCTGATTTTCAGATTGGGTCTCTGAGTGGATGTCCAGATTATTGATGGTGAAGTTACTTCTGTTTCTTAGTTTTCCTTCTAACAGTCTGGTCCTTCTGCTGTAGGACTGCTGAGGTCCACTCCAGGCCCTGCTTGCCTGGGGATCACTTGCAGCAGCTGCAGAACAGTAAGGGTTGCTACCAGTTTCTTCTTCTGCTATCTTTGTCCCAGAATGATGCCCGCCAAATGTCAGTCTGATCAGACCTTAGTGAGGTGACTCTTTGGATATATGGGGGTCAGGGAGCTGCTTGAGGAGACAGTCTTTTCTTTATAGGAGCTCAAGTGCTGAGCTGTGAGCTCCATTGTTCATTCAGAGCTTCTAGGCAGGTATGTTTAAGTCTGCTGCAGCGGAACTCATAAACCGCCTTTTTTTCCCCAGGTGCTCTGTCCCAGGGAGTTAGGACTTTATTTATGAGTATCCGTTGTGCTGCTGCCCCTTTTTTTTTTTTTTTTTTCAGTGCTGTCCTGCCCGGCAAGGAGGCAGCCTAGTCACTGTCTGCCTGCAGAGGCTTTGCTGAGCTGCTTTGGGCTCCACCCTGCTGCCGTATGGACTTCCCTGTAGTCCTTTTTATATCTTTTTATCCTTTTTCATAGTTCAACTGACTGTTCATTCAGTTTTAGTGTTTGAGAAGTCTGAAGTCATTTGAATCCTGATCTTTTGTATGTAGTCCATGTTTTCCTCTGGAAAGTTAACACAGAGTGACCATCAAGTCTGGAATCTTGACATGAATATATATGAAATGGCTTACTGATGTTACATTATTGTACATGGTAAAATAATAATACATGTGTTTTCATACTTTATGGGCACTCTGCAGAAACTTTTTTGGTCCCAGTGTTCTGAAATTTCATCATGATGGGCCTAGCATGGATATATTTCTTTCATTTTGGTAGGTATTTATTGAGTTCTTTTGATTTTAGAGTCTAGAGTATTCAGTTCTGGGAAATTCTCATTGCTTTGTTTATTCTTTGCACCTTATTCATCTTCTTTCTCTGGACTCCTTTATTTATATCTTGGGACTTTTGGATTGATTTTCTTTTCTTTACTTAGACTCATTTTTATTGTTTAGTTTGAGAGATTTATGTAACTGCAGCATCCAATCCTTTTATACATGTTTATTTTAAATTCAAACTACTCTGCCTTGGAATATTCTTAATCTAAAGGAGACTATATAAAAGGGTTAACACTAGAATTGTCTGTGCTCTACCCCAGAGAAAATAATGTTGATTGCTCAGAGTAAGGTCATGTGCTACTCAAAAATTAGCTCTTTATTTGATTATACTAGTAACATAGACTTCATTATACTTAGCACCTTGTCTCCTGCATTATAATTTAATCAGAGGAAACAGTTCTATTACATTTTTAGGAAGATCTCAGATTTAAAATGACACCATTTGAATTAAAATTATCCCTTTGCTGGATTATCTACCAAAAAAAATACTTCCAAGCTATCTTTCATTATATGTTCATACAGAATGTAAACAGTTTAATACTAACCTGAGCTCTATAGATAAATATATATATATATATATATTCTCTGTCATATATGTATGCGTGTGTGTGTGTGTACACACACACATACACACACAGTGGCCTATATATCATATATATATGTGCATATATGTGCATATATACATGCATACACATATGCACACACGCCAATGGCTGTGTGTGTGTGTAAATATATGTGTGTGTCATATATATATATATATATATATATATATATATGAGATGGGGGTCTCACTTTGTCACCTAGACTGCTAGACTGGAGTGGAGTGGCACAATCATAGCTCACTGCAACCTTGATCTCCTAGGCTCAAACAATCATCCTGCCCCAGCCTCTTGAGTATCTGGGACTATAGACACATACCACTGTGCCCGGCTAATATTTAAATCATTTTGTAGAGATGGAGTCTTGATTTGTTGTCCAGGCTGGTCTTGAACTTCTGGCTTAAAACGATCTTCCTGCCACGGCCTGCCAAAGTGCTGGGATTACAGGTGTGACTGAAGCACCTGGCCTATCTGAGCAAAATTTAAATAGGAAGGTGAATTCTTTGAAAAGAAATTCATGTGTATTCAAGGTGAATGTGAATTATTTTTTATTATTCTTCCTTTTGGATTTTTCTGTGCCATCACAGTGGTTCTAGTTACATGGACACTCAGATCTGAGACATTTGTTCCATTTCTAATGTTGTATTTTAATTTTAAAATTGTTTGGTAGTACTGTTTTCTCAGTCTTAAGACAGACTTTGAGCTAATCTTTGCTGGGTTTTGCTTGTCAAAAATGATGGTGAAGCCAAATTAACACTAACCAAAACTATTTAGCCTGTAGTCTTGGGTAAGTATTTATAAATACTTAACTATCAAAGGGAAATAATATTGCTTTGAAATTTTTCATTTAAGAATATGTAGTACTTTTTGTTTGAAAAAGGAAAGGTGGCCTTAGAAAGTCTTTTAGCATGAACATATGATATGCAGTGCATCAGCCATTTGTCTTAAAGGTGTATAATATCAGTTGATATAAGCATGTTTGAAAAACCTGCCCTGACACTTTAACTTTTCAGATTAGAAAGAGAGTATTTCTCCAAAAACAAGAAACTAAACGAAGAGATCGAGGAACAGAAGAAAGTCATTATAGACCTTTCAAAGAGACTCCAGTACAATGAAAAAAGTTGCAGTGAATTACAGGAAGAACTAGTTATGGTAAGGATAAAAAATAAAACTCTATGGTAATCACTTTACTGGGTCGTATTTGATGTATAGCAGGGTTTTTCCTCACTACATTCCATGAGTTAATGGTATGAAAGTAGTTTTAGGCCAGGTGCGGTGGCTCAAGCCTGTAATCCCAGCACTTTGGGAGGCCGAGGCGGGTGGATCATGAGGTCAAGAGATCGAGACCATCCTGGTCAACATGGTGAAACCCCGTCTCTACTAAAAATACAAAAAATTAGCTGGGCATGGTGGCACGTGCCTGTAATCCCAGCTACTCAGGAGGCTGAGGCTGGAGAATTGCTTGAACCCAGGAGGCGGAGGTTGCGGTGAGCTGAGATCGTGCCATTGCACTCCAGCCTGGGTAACAAGAGCGAAACTCCGTCTCAAAAAAAAAAAAAAAAAGTATTTTTAATGACATTGATAACAAAATTTTTCAAAACTGGAAATGCTGATTACATCAAAGATATACATAATGAAACCTCTCTGATTTAGAATAATTGCGGAAACTAACGGAATTAGTAAAAACTCTTATAGAATTAAAAAAAATGTATTCAAGGGTTTTTCTTTTTTTATTGTGCATTAAACAGTATTACTTATATTAAGGGTGATTAGGGTTTGTAATTAGTACAACTGATGATTTCATAGACTTCCTTTTGTAATTGTTTTGTACCTGGTCACTCTCTCTCTATTCCCCAGTAATCTAGCTTTTACACTATAACCAAATTTATCTTTGTAAAGTATTGATCTGTTTTTGTCAATCTTTCTTTATTCAAAACTCATCAGCATCTCAATGTCTGTCTTCCTGTTGTTTTCAGAAAGATGGCCAGCTTCTTGTATAATCTCAGGACCTTTTTCTTTTGTCTTTTGCTTTTTGTTAACTTTTCTAGCCTCTTTTGCGTTTTCCTTCTATCTGTTCTGCTTTAGCCACATTAGAATGCTCCTTGCTTTCTAAACGCACTTTTCTTCTTTTTTTTGTTTTAAAGATGGGGTTTCACTCTTGCCCAGGGTAGAGTGCAGTGGTACAACTCCTTACTTACTGTAATCTCCAACTCTCTCAAGGGACCCTTTTGCCTCAGTGTCCTGAATAGCTGGGACTGCAGATGTGTGCCATCATGCTTCTTACAGAGAAGAGGTCTCGCTCTGTTGGCCAAGCTGGCATCAAACAAGTGGCCTCAAGTGGTCTTCCTGTTTTGGCCTCCCAAAGTGCCAGGTTTACAGGCATGAACCACTGCATCTGACCTAAATACATCTCTTCATATATTCTTATTTTTATTCAGGTTATTCATTTCTTTGACCTGCAATGACTAAAATGCTCCTTTTCTTTTCCATAAACAGATTTCTATGCATCCTGTGATGCCCAGCTCTGATATTTTGCAATCTGTGAAGCTTTCTGTGATTCTATCTTCTGCACTCTCATCCACCTTAAGTTAAAATTCTGTCCCTCCTCAACAGTATTTCTTTAGTACTTAGTTCAGCATCTTTATCATAATACTCACAGAAATTTGTTGTGTGTTATGTCTCACAAGAGGATGTGAATGCTTTGAGGTTAGCTTACTTCATTTTATATACCTAGATTCCACTATAGTACTTGGCTCAATAAACAATTTTCTGATGGATTTATTTGGTTGATGGAGAATCTTTCTCTCTACAGTTTGCTGGGGAACCCCCGGGAGGGTGTAAAGTTTATGGTTAATACCCTGTTACTTCTTTGTCTTGTTCTACATATACATACTTTCCTCAGAGGCTTGACTATTTCACTTTCAGTTATATATGAAAAGTTTTAGTGATTTTAGTTATTGAGGACAATGGGTATTATTTTCCTTCTTGAAAAAGGTGGCCCTGGGTTATACTAGGAATTGGTCACCAAATCAGTGCTGCCCAGATAGAAAGCTAGTAATGGGATACAGTTAAATCTCTTCAGTGTTTTTTCAAATGACCCAATATTATATGCATTTCCCATTTACCTCAAGATGCTTGCTGTGTTCTGATTCAGGAATTGGTATCATTGCTTGTTCTAGAAATCAGTTTGCAGTTTGGTATTTTGAATGTGGTGTTTTAGAAAGTTAAGAGTCCTCTGTGTAGTCTGCTCTAGCATCTGTTCACTGTAATGTGTTATCCTAAATTTCATGGGCTGTTTTAGCTCTTACCTCCTAGTTCAGGAAGATGAATCAGTAGTGGAGAAAAATATGTTAGGGTCATTAAGCTGAGTACTACATTCACTCTGCTTGCTTATTAGTCATTGCACTCAATAGTTTGGAAAATAAGTCAGGGTTATAACTAAGAATGGAAGAGTTAAGACATAATCACCAATATAGGTTGCATGAATTTTCCTAATTCTGGTTTTCTAGCACTTTGGTGACTAGATACAAAATAAAATGAGACTGGCTTAACTCACCACAGAACGTATGCGTATTTAGTGATTAAAAAATTTTACTTGGTACTAACAGCTTTTTTCCCTAAAACTTTTACAGAGTGATAGTTGGTCTAAAATAAGGCAAGTGGCAGCTCACCAGCAGCCTTTGTTTGCTTGTTGGGGTCTTCTGCACTCATTTTATTAATCCACTGAACACTATTGTTTTGATAATGATGCTGAAAATTGTAGGCTAATTGTTTCTTCAAAGCTCGATGGATGGCTAAAAGCAGTTGCAGATCTGTGAATAATGTAATAGTTCCTTGTTGAATGGGATGTTCGAAAAATTTACTCAGGTTGCCAGACTAAGTGATATACAGTTTACCATACTTGGTGGCTCAGACTATTAATATGTTCCTCTTAATTTTTTCATTTCTCTTAAACTCAGCTTTGTGTCTTATTTCTTCCATCTTTGTCTTCTGTTTTTTCTTTCCTATTAACTTTTAAAAAACTTTTTCTGTTTTATGCTTATTAGAGCTGTTGTTCTTTGTTTCTTTGCCTGACCATAATATGAAATTTAAGAGCTATTTAATGAAAATGTCTTTAAATAGTAAGTACAATGTTTTTCTTTTTATAAACTACTATTCTATCGCTTTTTCTAAATATAGTTTTTCTTGTGCATATTCCTTTATTGACTTTTCTCAGTTGATTAGTGAGGGAAAGAAGGTTTGAAAAATTTGTCTTGAAAGATATCTCTTTCAAATTAAATTTTAAGCCATAAGAAATAAAGTTTTTCTAGTTCTGCATTCACAGTCTGGCTATTATTTATGCTTTGAATTCTTAATTGTTGACTGAAGAGAGAATGACTTATGAGCAAGATTTCCCTTTTGCTTTTGGAAATGAAATTGTTTTAATGACATCCCATGATTTCATGTACCCTAGTGTGTCTTTTCCAGTTATATTTCTTTTGAGCATAATAGTATCAGTGTTTTATAGACTATATATAGGAAGCATAAATTACCTACAGGTAATTTTTCTTTCCCTTTGAGGTACCAGATTATTTTCTAGTTTAGGTTATGTTCATGGTCATTATTTGAGTCTTGGTCTTTATTTTCTCTGTTACTTTGGAAAAGAACGTTAAAGTCACTATCCTCTTTAGGTTTACTAGTAAGGTGAAGGTGTTATTAATAAGATACAAAGACTTGAGGAAATTTTGAGAGTTAGAGATCACTTTGTGTTAGTACAGCATAGCCTTATGCTGTATCCTGGGCTGGATACAGCGACAGAGCTGTTAGAGGCTTTAGAGATCATCTAGCCCAGGATACAGAATGTGCTAGTAAACCAGTTGGAAAGTAATAGCTCCCCTGTTTTGAGAGAGATAATATATAAATATAGAACATAATTTTGGAAAAATCTAAACCTTGTATGTTGTCTTTTGTGGGTATTTAATAAATATAAACCCAGCCAACTTTAATTGTACTTTTATTTGTTTATTTATTTTTAATTGACACAAAATAATTGTGTTAATACATATTTATAGGGTACATTGTGATGTTTTGATATATACAACATAAAGTGATCAGATCTAGGGTAATTACTATGTTATCTCAAACATCTATTATTTCTTCATTCTAATTATACTTTTATATTAATGAAATTACTTCTATTCAATGTATAGATTTAAAAGATATAATTAATAAATTAATGATATATAATTACTATTTTGAATGTCATAGAATTAGTAAAATTTCAACAGGACATTTAAGGACTTAACAGATTTATTTTAATGTTTGAAATAAATGTGAACACAGAAGATGTGAACACAGAATATGAAACTTGACATAATTTGACTATAAATAGTTTTGATTAGAAATTGAGCTTTTAGTTTCAAAATCTGTGAATTTAATAATGACTTAATCAACTAGTAAATAAAACTGAATTTCTAGTTTAAGCTGCTAAGTGATCATGCTTATTAAAGTCCATCTGAGGCTCAGCAGATCCAGTTGGGTCTTTTAGACATTACTATGAGTTTTTATGTATCTGCCTCTCTTGAAGAAGGGGAGCTGTCATTTTCAAATTCGTATTATTAGAACTTGCTTTGTGCTTTCTTCAGTGAAATTTTCTTAAGTCCATTATTTCTTGAGATTTGTTTTCTGCCACTCAGTAAAATTTAGTTACAGCTCTAGGAGAGACTTTATATTGAAAAGGGAATTCTAGTTCTCGTGAGCTTTTGCTCAAAGAATGTTTTATTCTCTAAAGAACTTGTGATTGAAAATGGTCAAGTGTATATTTTTTCTCAATACTTTAGGGGCCTTAACTGATTATATAATAATAATGATTGCTAGCATTAAATATGATTTTGGAAAATGCTTTGATGGTTATACTTTGTGGTGAAGATAATATTTCTTGATAATATTTTTACCGATGAACTATTAGGTTTGCTTTAGAAGAACATGTTTCTGATTTTGTAGGAGGTTTTCAAAACTAATGGGCTAGTAAATATTCTATTCTGATTTTTACTAAAAAAAAGATTGATTCCTGTTTTTCACCAAGAATAAGAGTAGTATTTATACATGGGTATTGTTTTTGCTAATATAAATATCACTTTCTGTTTCTCTTAGTGGCCCTTAAATTTTAATAC